AGAGGGGGGGGGGGGGTATAAGAGCGGAACGTTAAAATACATTAGGATCAAATCCGGACACTTAATCGAATTCATTTTATCGAAAACAGTTTATTGAAGATTATTTTAACGAATGTACGTTTGACCGAATGGATATTTCATCGAAAGGGAAATTTGGTCGAAGAGGACAATTTTAGTTCGAAAGGGACATTTGAATGAAAATGTCATAATTCAGTTGTTAGATTAGGTTACGTTAGGTTAGGTTATGTGATGGCGTTTTAGTTATAAAAAATCATCTCAACGATGTTGTAGTGCTGTGCTGGATTGGTCTAGGTCTAGGTTACCTTAGGTCAGGTCAAGTCAGAACTCCATTGCCTTGCTTGGTTAGAAAACATAGTATTGATCAGTTATGTAATACGTTTTATTTATTTATTTATTTATTCCAGAGTTACATATAAACATTTGCAGTTCGATACAGAGTAGATATTATTTTACACAATAACACACTATACCGTCGCAAATCCTGCAGAGGAAATCGAAATTCCCTGTTCGCAGGTCCGGTTTAACAAAAACAAAATATAACAAAACGCTGAATAGTTATGCTGTGATTTTCACAGCAACCACCTCCAGCCATACTCATCATTCCGTACAATTCATTCATTCTGAAGGTAGCATGTCTCCGAGTCGGACTTCCATACTCAGATCTTGCTCTCCTTCACACATTCATACACTCATATAAAAAAACTTTGGTTAGGTTACGAAAGTCTTTATTTACTCTCTTCGTTCCAACTCTAATTAACCTCATTTGTGTGTTGTGATTAAAATAGTGATATCTATTTTCTATTTTCATTGTTGTTTTTGTTTTATTCATTGATTCTAAGCCAATCTTCTATTTTTTTTATATTTGTTCTTTTTTGTATAACTTTGAGTTCATTTGGTAATTTATTGAATATACTAATTGCTTTATTATAGCTAATTTTATTACTAACAGTTTTATTATACTTTGGTGGTATTATTATTTTATGTCGAGTTTTACTCGCCGAGTTGATGTACTGATGATTAAGATTGTCATGGTAGTACCGAAGACTTTCATTTGCGAAAGATTGCTTCAGGTTTAGTGGAATTTTATTTTAAAAGGTGTTTTTATTTATAATTTTTAAAATTCTTGTTTGAACTTTTTGCAGTAGTTGTAGTTTGTTTTGATACGCACCACCCCATTCAATTATGCCATAATTAATCAGGCTATGGAAGAAAGCAAAATATATAATTTTTAGTCTATTAATTTCCATAAATTTGGTGATTTTACTAAAGATGAAAATAAGATATCTAGTCTTATTTATTAAATTTTCAATGTGTTTGTCCCATTTCATATTGGTAT